CCAGTGTTTTCCATGGAGTCACTCCAGGCTTTCACCTGAGTAAATGAGATGACGATGAGTAAATCAAATGCAATGCAAAACAAGACTGCATTTGTCTAACCAATTGCTCCAATGATATCTATGAGAGTCCTACGTACGTATTTGGTCAGGTCATCAAGGAGCTGGAAATCTCCTCTGAGTCCCAGTGTCCTTCGTAGTTCATCTATCATTTTGGCTGTCTTCACCACCGTGGAGAGCTTCAAGTAGCTTGTAATCTTAACCACCGCGGCCTCAGCCCACTCAGACTTGCTGCCGGATCCTCCCTCGCTCTTCTCCATGATTTTAAATTCATTTCTGAGCTCCTGTTCATCTGTTAGCAGCCTTCCAAACTGTCTCTCAATGTCACCAAGGCTGATGGAAAATTTTTTAAGGGCCAGATAGGTGGTTTGAAAATCGACCATGGCCGGGAGGTAAATGTTTTCCTGCACTTCATCCAGGGAAAGAAGGGCTTTGTCTGGGAAAACATCCTTGGCACGTTCCGCTTTCAGCTTCCACAGTTTCCGGAAGAACTGGCTTTCCTGTAGGGTATGAACTTTTCTAACCATGTCGTCGTGTTTAGCGAGTGGGTGCGACTGCAGATCTTCACTTTTCTCCTTTCCACGTATGGAGTATTTCTTCACCAGCATCTGATCCTTAATGCTCTGTTTAATTGCAACGCTTTGTTCCATGGCACCTACATCAACTAAACAGTGCGGGGATAGAGATTTATTAACATGTAATTAATAGACACCAAGGCCAGAAAGAATCACTGTGATTATCTAGTCTGACCATCTGTATAACACAGGCCACAGGACTTCCCCAAAATAATCCTGTGTGAACCAGAGCAGATCTTGTAGAAAAACCTTTGCCCTTTAATAGAGGGTGGGACAGTAAACATTATAAATGTAATTAAATACAGAGAGCTGCACTGAAAGAAGGTTACAGTTGCAAAGTATTCAAGTATTAGGAAATTCCCGCATGTAACCACTGCTGTGACATCTGCCTGAGTCTGCAGACAGCCTGTGACAATCATTCTGAAAGGAGGAACTGCCCCAAGTGTAACCCTTCCACAGAGGAAAATTCTCAGTCTAGCTGTAAAGCGGATTCATGGAGGCCAGAAAGAATTATTCCGATCTTCCAATCCAGCTTACGGCATAACCCAGGCCAGAGAATCTTCCCCAGTGACTCCTGCATCCAGCCCAGTAACTGCTGGCTGAGCTAGAGTGGAGCGTTGAGAAAGAGACACCTCATCTGCATTGTCAGAGTCCCAGGGATGGAGAATCCATCCCATCCCTAGGGGAGCTATTCTAGTGGTGAATTCCCCTTGCCGGTAAACACAGGCCCCTTATTCCCAGCCCGAATTTGTCTCCCTTCAGTTCCCAGCCAGCGAGTCTGGCTTTGTCTTTGTCTGGAGGTTAAAGACCCTTCTACTCCCAGCTATTCCTTCCTTGTGTTGATCCTTATAGACCAGGATCATGTCACCTCTTAACCTTCTTTTGGATAAGCACAGTAGGTTGAGCTCCCTCTAGGGTGACCAGATGTCCCGATTTTATCGGGACTGTCCCGATATTTGCTTCTTTGTCCCGCGTCCTGAACGATGTTCGGTCGGGACACTGGACAAACAAGCAATTTTGCCCTCCGCTCCGGCACACAGGCGGAGCCTGGAGGGGCTCTCGCCCCCTCCACCCCCAGCCCCTTCCTTCCTTCCCCTATTGGATCCCTCCCCAAATCCCCGCCCTGGCCCTGCCTCTTCCCCAAGCACGCCGCATTCCTGTATTTGCCCTCTTAGTCACTAAACTGCACTGGGAGCTCATGTTCAGTTGATTTCCATCAGGACCCCTAACCTGTTTCTAGTGTCACTGCTTTCCAGGATACAGTCCTTCCATCCACTAAGTGTGTAATCAATTCCATCATTATGTACTGCAGGAAAACAGAACAGGATGGTACCTTTTATAATGTCCGTGATGCAGCTGCACAGACACAAAAATGCTCGTCTTTGCTGTGTCTGTTTTTTCAGCTGCCCAAATTCATTTTGCCTGACATCCAGCACTTCCTTTATATATTGAGAGAAAGATGGCTCTGAAAAAGAGATACAGAGGGTTTTTGAGACCATCACTGTGATATGGGGAAGCTGCCCTGAATGTAACTGATGCAGCAACAAATATCTGCCAGAGTCTGCAGAGAGCCTCAGATAATAGCACTGAGAGGTGTGGGTGGAGTTTATTTTGTGGGAAGAGCTTGGAAGAGAACCTGTCCCACAACTTTTTACTAAACATACAAAGATTTTGCAAGCAGCATGAGGTATTGGAGCTCCCGGTGTAACCAGCATAAACAGCCAAAACTGAATATTATAAATGCTTAGAATGCAACTGTATGTTTAAAATAAATGGTGGTGCAAATATCTAACTGCTACTAGATATGCATAAAATTCAATCCATCACATTTAACACAGTGGTTTTCAATTACCCCCTCCCCATATTTTAGGACTCCACCTTTGAATATTTTATTTATTAACAACAATTGGTTTTATGTTCTAT